TTGGTTTTTCTCCGGTACCGGGAACCGAACTCACGACCTTGCGCTTGCCAGGCAGGCGCTTTTGCCGCTGAGCTAAATCCCCAGCCCCCCCACTTAATCTTATAGGGTTATAGATATACCTTTATTTTATGTTCATGGATTTTTTTTTTTTTTTTTTTTGCAGTGCTCTGTATTTATGGCAAAGCCCTCTAGCTTTGTATTTATTAGAATAATATAAAGTTTCCTTTTAAAATAAACTTAGAAGTGAGTCAATATAAAGAAAAAAATAGTAAGGAAATATTTGAGTTTGTTTGTTTTTTGAGACAATGTTTGCTGTGTAGCCCAGGCTGGCCTTGAACTCATGGCCATCCTCCTGCCTCAGCCTCCCAGAATGCTGGGATTACGAGGTGTGCTCCACCACACCTGAGCCCAAGATTGTTTAAATATATATAGATATAGATATATGTATATCTATATCTATATCTATAGATATATATATATTTTTTTTGAGATAGGGTTTCACTATGCAGTTCAGCTGGCCTTGAGCTCACTTTGTAGCCCTGGCTGGTCTTGAACTCACAACAATCCTCCTGCCTCAGCCTCCTGAGTGCTGGGATTACAGGTGTGCACCACCACTCCTGGCTAAAAATTATTTTTGATTTAGGATATGAAAGTAAAAAAGTGCATAAATTCTAAGAGCTCAGCAAACATTCATACCATGTAACCAGCACCCTGGAGCCCTGCGTGTCCCCGTTCCTGCAGACTTCAGCAAGAATGTGACACTAGGTATGCAGACGATGGATCGGTTGGTTGGGGACAGATGGAGGCTGCTTTAGAGGTTGATGAGGTTCTCAGGACTCCAGATAATTCGGGGCAGAGAGGAAACAGAGATGGAAAAGATAGCTGGGGTTGGAATTGGCAGGGCTTGGGTCCCACGGCTTGTTCAGGCTTGGAGCAGAGGAACATCCGGGTATCTCCTGGCCACCTCCCGGGCACTGCAGCAGGAGGTGGCGGGATGCTTCTACTTAAGGTCTACCTGGAGTGAGGACCTGGGACCAGGCGCCCCTCCCCAAGGACCCCCAGCCCCACGGCCCCATCTGCCCCTGGCTTCGCGCCACCCTGGCACACAGTGTGCTTAGGCAGAGGCTGAAAACATATCTGGATGTGGACATGAAGCTTTCAATACCCCATTCATGGGGCCCGGGATGGACCCTAGTGGAATAATCAGCTTTTGTCCTCCTTTGCCTGGACCGGGGACAGCTGGGAGATGGGAGCTGAGGGCTGTGAGGAGGGGGACAGCCACAGGCCGGTCCCTGCTATGTGGGGGACACGTAGCTTCCTAGGCTTTCCCTGCTTCTCAGGCTATGGGACGCTGCCCCTCCTCCCCAGGCTGGGTCAGTCCCCACCCTGGGAGCAGCCGTGGGGACAAACGGCCTCCAGAGACCCTGCCAGGAATCCTCAGGTGCCCCTGCTCTGTCCCCGAGGCTCAGGCCTGAGGGAGGGAGAAAGACCCCGAACCTGACCTTCATGGACCCCAGAGATCCCCGAGGCCCTAGTGAAGCCAGCCTCGCCCACCAGCTTCCAAATAACCCCTCCAGCCTTTTGTGCCTCCCACCCTGGGGATGCTGGCCAAGCAGAAGCTTTGTCCATCCCTGTCCTAGGTGACTGAGGCTCTCCAAAGCTCTTGCATTCCTTCTCCACCCTTCCGAAGTGACTTGAGTCACCCTGTGTTCTCTTTACAAGTTAAACAGGTCAGGATAATGGGTAGAAGAAGCTGCTAAGTCTTGCTGTTCTCATCTGTAAAATGGGATCAGTAATGTACTTACCTCTTATAGGTGTAGCTAGATTAAATGAGCTAATGTTTATAAATGGTTTAGCCCAAAGTGGCACAGTAAGTGTGGCAGCTATTACTGGGACTGTTTCCTCCATCTAGACTGTGGACCCTCCAGGGCAGCATCCAGATCATATTCAATAGTAGTGCCTGTTTGTTGAGTGGCTGAATGTTTGTTGAGTGGCTGAATGAAGTTATAGTTGCAGAATCATAGAATGTAGCTGTCAGAAGGGGCCCAGGAGATCATGAAGGACAATTCCCCATCAGACCAGTGGGAATGATGCGCACGCACACACACATGCTCACTCGCACACGCTAGCAAAATGAAAGATTCGTACATACCTGGGGAAATATTCTGTCCCTCCGGGAGTCAGTCCAAGCTGGAATCGGAAGTTGAGGCCAGGGAAGGATCCCCCAAGTGCAAATCAACACCAACCTTTCTTCTTCTCTTTCCAAAGCTGGCAGGTGAGCAGAGGCAGGTCCCTGTCCATGGAGCTGACTGCTGACCCCAGCCTGTCCCCACCCGACCTTAGGGGTAGAGGGAGGCCACAGCAGGGCAGGGCGGAGGTGGCCTGCCGGGCCTGCGGTGGCCCGGAGGAAGGCACCAGGTGGAGGAGGAGCTGCAGGGCTGGGAGAGGCGTGGACTCTGAGCCAGGGGCTCAGGTTTCCCAAGGGCCGGGGGCGGTCTCCACTCCTTTGCCGAGCGTCTGGGCAAAGCCTCCCTTAGCCCTGACCCAACCTCCCCACTGCATCTCAAGCCTCGGCTAAATCGGAGTTCAGAGACAGTGTCACAGGAGACGCCACCAAGGGGGGGCGTCCCACTCAGGTGGGGGTTCACTATCCCAGGGGCTGCTGATTTTGCCTTCCTGGCTGGCCCTTCCTGAGTCCTGGTGCCCTTTGGGCTTGTGTCCTTATAGGTGACAGGAAAGGACATGTGGCTTCTTCTGTAGCTGTAACAAAGGGCTGGACTGGGATTCGCACCTTCCCACAGGAACCATGGGTGTTAGCTGTCCCCAGACCCGGCTTGCATCCTCTCCACCCTGGGAAGAGTTTAAAATACAATCAGTACAAAGAAAACAAACAGGAAAACCAGATCCATCTCAGGTTGGCCCTAGAAACCCTCAGGGTAGCAGACTCCTCGGATGCGCAAGGCCCTTATAGAAAATGATGCGATATTTACACGTAACCTATACAGTTCTATCCTCCTGTGTACTGTATTGTATCTGGTTATTTCCTTGTGGTGGCGTGGGTGAAACTCAGGGCCTTACACATGCTAGGCAAGTGCTTGAGCACTGAGGGGAACCCCAGCCACAGAGTATTTCTGGTCCTTATTAGCGGACTCCAAGGATAGCTGACCCCTCCCCCAAGACTCATCTGCTGCCTGCCGGGGATACCCTTCCCCCCATCTGCATAGCTCTCTTTGACATTCACCTGTTTCCCGGTTCTATTCTTCAAATTGCTCCCAAAAACCAAGTCACATCTGTGTTTAGTGATGCATGCCTATAATCCTAGCTACTTGGGAGGCTGAGGCAGGAGAGTCGCAAGTATCAGTCTAACCCAGGCAACTTAGTGATTTAGCAAGACTCTGCCTCAAAGAAATGGGGGAGGGGGGCTGTGAAGCAGCTCGGTAGTGGATGCCCTAGGTTCAGTCCCCAGTACCACCACTACCAAAAACCAAACTCAGGGTCAGGAATTTAGCTCAGTGGTGCAGCACCTGCCTGGCAAGCATGAAATCCTGAGTTTGATTCCCAGTAACCAAAAAAAAAAAAACAAAAAACAAAAACAAAAACACCTAGCCTCTAATCATAGTGTTGTAGGCAGCTGAGTTAGACAGAAATATTACAAGCAGTCAGACAGGGCCAGGCCCTCAAAGGAGCCAACATGAAAGACAAGATACCTGGGCCAGACCTCAAGACAAGTAAATGCACCCACATACCTCCCCAGGTGTGAACATCAGGGATCTATATTCTAAATAGGTAGCAATCGCCTTCAAAAAGCCAGGAAGAGCCTGACCCCCTACAGGAAAAGCCCCTGTTCTGTGTTCATGCCCGCTTGCTACATGACTCACTTCCCCATTTGATCCCACTTTACTCAATTTTACCTGAACAGTTATACTTGTAATCTTATTGGCTGACCATAGTTTTGTCCCACCTCACGCTCACCTTGTGATTTCCCATCTTTCCCCAGCCTTGGACCTGGCTCACCTCATGGTTTTGGTCCATAAAGTCCCTAGGAAAAGCCAGGTTCCCTGGGCAAGCCACTTGGTCCCCCTTCTGTCCCTCTTTTGGACAGAAGCTTTCTTTCCCTCAATAAATATATTCTGCTCTTAACCTCCGTTGTTCCTAAAATTCATCCTTCGATTTTAGAAAACACAAAGTCATCCCAGATATCGTTCAGGTTGGGAGTTTTTATTTTCCTGTATCAATAGCACTGGGAGGGCTGAGGCCGGAGGATCACTATGAATTCAATGTCAGCCTGGGCCACAAAGTGAGGTCTGGACTACGCAGTGAGACTGTCTCAACTCCATCCTCAAAACAACAACAAAACCCCCCAAACAATCAAAGTATAATGGGCAAGACAAGGAAAGAAACCACTGAAGGAGACTTTTCTGAAGGTCCTTGAAGAGACAGCACCGCAAACCTAGGGTTAGGGTTAGGTTAGGGTTAGGGTTAGGGTTAGGGTTAGGGATAGGATTAGGGTTAGGGTTAGGGTTAGGGTTAGGGTTAGGGTTAGGGTTAGGGTTAGGGTTAGGGTTAGGTTAGGGTTAGGGTTAGGGATAGGATTAGGGTTAGGGTTAGGGTTAGGTTAGGGTTTAACACCATACACCTATCAGAAGGGTAAAATAAAGAAAAGCAAAGCAGTACTGATTACCAATGAGGATGTGGAAATACTGGTTTATGGCACTGTAAAATGGCCCAGCTGTGTTGAAAACTAGTTTCTCAGTTTCTTATTTTTTCTTTTCTTTTTTCTTTCTTTCTTCCTTTCAGCAGAGCCTTGCTATGTCTCCCGGACTCAGGCTCCATAGGCTTCAGAGTAGCTGGGCTAGAGACATATTTCACCAAGTCTGGCTCTAGATGCTTCTTTAAATATTAAACACACAGCACTTGGGAGTCTGACGCAGGGGTATCATTGGGAGTTTGAGACCAGGCTGGGCTACAAAGTGAGGTCAAGGCCAGCCTGAACTGCATAGTGAGACCCTGTCTCAAAGAAACAAAAAGAAACAAAGAAGTAAACACAGACTGACCCTGTGACCTCGCCATTGTACTCCTGGGTATTTATTGAGAGATGTGAATACTTCCATCTCCATAAAACCTGTGTGTGAATGCTCACAGTAGCTTCATTTGAATTCACCCAAACTGGAAACAACCCAAATGTCCTACAACAGATAAACCACGGTGCACAGGGCCACACCCGGGACTTCCCAGCCACAGAAAGGAACCCACTATTAATGTAGGCAGCAACTTGGATAGCTCTTGTACTCACCCGCTTTGTATTACTATAATAATGTACCCGAGATAGGCTAACTTTACAAAATAAAGAGGTATATTTAGCTCATGCTCTCGGAGGCTGAAAGTCCAGATAGCACAGTGCAAGCTCTGATAGGGTCCATGGTGGGTGGCGGAGAATGTGTGGAAGGAAGAGGTCCCATTGCCAAATAGGAGGCCAGAGAAGGATGGGGTCCCAGGATCCTTCTGGAGGTCCAGCCCCTCTTGCTCTAGTGCCTTATGTTAGGTTGCACCTCTCAAAGGTCCTCCACCGTGCTGAGGACCTGGAGTCCAACCAACATAGGAAACTCAGGGGGCAACCTATACCCCAGCCACAGCAGATCTCAAGGACATCATGGTAAAGAAAAAACCTAATCTTGCTAAGCATGGTAGCACAGACCTGTAATCCCAGCATCTGAGAGGCTGAGTCAGGAGGATTTTAAGTTTGAGTCCAGCTTAGGCAATTTAGTGCTTTAGCAAGATGCCATCTCAAAATAAAACATTAAAGGGTTGCTGGAGATGTAGTTCAGTGAGAAGGTCTGGAGTTCAACCCCCTAGTCCAATCAATCAGTCAACTGATGGATCAATCTATCAAAAACATTTTAGAAAGCTAATCTCCAAAGGTTATACACTACATGATTCCATTCATATAACACCCTTGAAATTATGATTTTGTTTGTACTAGTGGGGATTGAAATTGGGTTTCTCTACCACTGAGTTACATCCCAGTCTATTTTATTTTATTTTATTTTTATTTTTATTTTTATTTATTTTTGTTTTTTTTCTGGTACTAGGAATCGAACTCACAACCTTGCACTTGCCAGGCAGGCACTGTGCCACTGAGCTAAATTATTTTATTTTATTTTATTTTTGAGATAGGGTCTCCTTGTATAGTTCAGGCTGGCCTTGAGTTCATGATGTATCCCAGGTGGGCCTTGAACTCAGAGTGATCCTCCTGCCTCAGCCTACTAAGTGCTGGGATTACAGGCATGGGCCAGCACAGCTGATCCATTTCAATTTTTATTTTGAGACAAAAACTCGCTAAATTGCCCAGGTTGGCCTCAGATTTGCCTGCAGGGATTACAGATCTGCACCTCTGCACCTGGCTGAAATGACAGACGTATAGGAGTGGAAAACAGGGTGACATCCAGGGTTCAGGGACTGTGAAAGTGGAGAGGCTCAGTGTGACTCAGAGGGAGTAGCAAAAGGGAGACCTTCGAGGTGCTGGGTAGTCCTAGATCTCTTGGTTGTCTAGGTTACAGACCTAGAAAGAAAATTAAAAAAATAAAAAAAGAAAAGAAAAGAAAAGAAAAAGAAAAAAAAGAAAAGAAAAGAAAATCCCCAGATTTTTCCTTTTGTGCAATTTGGCTCCAGTTCTTTGAGGCCCATAACGCCAGTCACTCACAGAGCTGGGATTACAGCCTTCACCTGCCTGAGAGGTTCACGCGATTTTCTCCTCTTGGTGATCAACTATCCCAACGTCACCGATGTGGCCAAGCTTCATCAGCAGAGTTAGGGTCCAGCTGATGACTTCAGAGCGCAGTCTAACAAGGACCTGGTGTTTGCCTCTCTTTTTGGAATTGTTGAGGCTCTCAGGAGCATCAGCCCGGAGCCTGATGACCGTGATGGAAAGAAGTCAGAAAGAGCAGGCTCTGTATCTTGACTGCATTTGACCAAATAACAGAATTGTATGCATACTTGCACCCATGTCAAGTTCCTGGGGTGTTTTGGCTTTTTCAGTCCTGAAGATTGAACTGAAAGGTGCTACCTCTAGGTACCACTAACTACCACTAACTTATACCCTCAGCCCTCTTTATATTTTCTTTTGAGACAGGGTCTTGCTAAGTTTCCCATGCTGTGCTCAAACTTGCAACCCACCACTCAGGAAGCTGAGGCAGGAGGATCGTTGTGAGTTTGAGCCCCACCTGGGCTACATAGTGAGTTCAGGGGTAGCCTGAAATACACAGTGAGACCTTTTCTCAAAAAAACAAAAGACAAAAAACAAACAAAAAAAGACAAACAAACAACAAAAAACCCTGAGTTCCAATCCTAGCCCTCCCCCGCCAAAAAACTCAGGCATAGTAGTGCACACCTGTAATCTCAGTTCTCTGGAGGCTAAGGCAGGAGGATCACCATGAATTTGAGGCTAACCTGGGCTACATAGTGAGTCCAAGGCAAGCTGGTGCTGCATAGCGAGACCCAGTTTCTTTCTTTTTTTTTTTTTCCGGTACCGGGAATCAAACTCACGACCTTGTGCTTGCCAGGCAGGCGCTGTGCCGCTGAGCTAAATCCCCAGCCCCTGAGACCCAGTTTCACAGAAACAAAAAACAAAGAAAAACCAAAGCTCACATAATGTAAACTTTACCGTCTTTTTTTTTGACACAGGGTCTTGCTATGTCATTAAGTTGCCCAGGCTAGACTGGAACTTGTGATACTCCTGCCTCAGCTTCCCCAAGTGCTGGTGCAATGGTAAGCAGAAACACCAAAATGACACCAGGATTTGGAGGCAGATTTATTTACGTTGACAGGCACTGATTGGGCTCTGATTCCCAGAATATCAGGTCCTAGTGGCTGGGGATTTAGCTCAGTGGCACAGTGCCTGCCTGGCAAGTGCAAGGTCATGAGTTCGATTCCTGGTACCGGAAGAAAAACAAAACAAACAAACAAACAAATAAACAGAATATCAGGTCCTGATCCCTGGTGGTCTAGGGCTTATATTGGGTAGGCAACAGGAAGTACAGAGGCAGAATGGCTTGTCAGTTGGGGATTGATTCTTACAATATGCATCATAGTGACCAGCTATGCATCACAGTGACCAGACGTTTCTAAGACACCAGAAGCAACTGGAACTGGAACAGGAACTGTTACCTGGGCAATGAAGAAATTGAAGTATACTGGCTGAGGGAGCATTTTGTTATACCAGGATCACAGGTGTGCACCACCAAACCCAGCTTGGATTCTCATTTCATTCAATGCATAGTCCTTTTGGGGTTTGGTTGTTTTGGAGACACTGGGGATTAACACAAGGGCCTGCCGCATGCTAGGCAAACACTCTACCACTGAGCGACACCCCAACCCCATTGCTGTCAAGTTTCTTTCCTTTTTTTCTTGTCTTTTTGAGACAGGGTCTCGCTATGCAGTTCAGGCTGGCCTTGAGCTCACTTTGTAGCTCAGGCTGGCCTCGAACTCTCAACGATCCTCCTGCCTCAGCCTCCCGAGTGCTGGGATTACAGCTGTGCGCCACCACACCCGGCTGTTGTTTATTTCAATGCAGTTGTTCCCTTTCAGTCAGTGTGATCTCCCCCGTGCACCGCCCCCACCCCCCGCCCCCGCCACCTGTTTTTTGGTCACATCCACATCATTTGAACACTTGATGGTATAACAAAATATTCCAGGTTTATTTTCTACTTTCTTAGCTTTAACTGAGAACCAACCATTTCTCTAAGGAGCCCTGGCTCCTACTTTTAGAGAGGAATAGCGTTTAGGAACCAATATCCAGGTTCTAAAAATTTTTAAGGATGAGCGGGCCGGCCGTCTGCGCTGTTGGTCATTCTGACCACCAGGGGGCAGCACTCTTCAGAAAACTAAAAGACCTAGAATCTGGGCTGGACTGTGGAGTGGCTTGACCGACCACACTCTTATAGGGGTCTCTAGTTCTCTTTCCCGAAAGAGGCAAACTCAGGCACCACTCACACTATGTGCATGTAGACCCTCCCTGGTCCCCACCTCACCCTAGGTTCCCCTTCGTGTGGCTACACCCTAACCCTCTTTCAGTTATTTTGAGACAGGGCCTTGCTAAATCACTAAGTTCCTAAAGGCGGGGCTCAAAATTTGTGATCCTTGCCGTGCATGATGGGGCACACCTGTAATCCCAGCACTCTGGAGGCTGAGGCAGGAGGGTTGCTTCGAGTTCAAGGCCAGCCTGGGCTACAAAGTGAGTTCAAGGCCAGTATAACCTTGAACCTGCACAGTAAGACCCTGTCTCAAAAAAGCAAAAAAAAAGTGTGATCCTCCAAATGGGATTCCAGCGTGCACCACCACACCAGGTCCTTTTGTCTTTTTTCTGCAGCTCCATGGCAGGGAGGGACGAGGATGGACAGGCACCTTCAGAGAGGCCCTAATCACCCTCCCAGCCCTCTCTACTTCAGCATAATCAGCCATCTCAGCTGTGGGTAACGAGCATGAACGGGGCCTCCCTTGTGAGTGGCTCAACTAGGACAGATCTGCAGCTCCCAGTCCCTCAGGGCCTCGGGCCACAGCTGCCTCCTTGCTTTGGATCTGCAAACAGGAAACCCAGAGGGGAACGTTTTCCCCAGGGCTGGGCACCCAGGTGAGCTTGGAGCCTGGGCTCTGGGCTCTGAGCGGGTTCTCTCCGTTGGCTGCTCACCACCCCCACCCCCACAGTGGCCAGACCAGATGGAATTTGGGGTGGTTGCTTCTCTTCATTTCTTTATTTTCCCAAAAGTACACTAGAATATTAACCCTCCCCTCCAAACACACCAAAAGCCAGGGGAATTCTAGGCAATTTAAATATATGGTTCAAATGTGCAAATGAATGTACCCTTTTTGCCCCAGGATTTAAATGCTAGAGTGTGTGTGTGTGTGTGTGTGTGTGTGTGTGTGTGTGTGGTACTGGGGACTGACCCCAAGGACTTTGCACTGAGCTACATCTGCTGTCCTTTTTTATTTTGAGACAGGGTCTCTCTAAATTGCTCAGTTGCCAAGCCTGGGCTTGAATTTGCAATCCTCCTGCCTCAGCCTCTGAGCTACAGCTGCAACTGTTTTTATTTTTAATTTTTTTTCAGTACTGGGGATTGAACTCACGACCTTGAGCTTGCCGGGCAGGTGCTGTGCCGCTGAGCTAAATCCCCAGCCCCTTTAGTTTTAATTTTTATTGGTCTCAAAAACTAAAAATTAAAAATCAGGGTAGGGCTAGCAAAGATCTGGGTCCAGGGGGTGGAGTAGGGGAAGGCATGAGGAACTCATGCTGGTGCGAGGTTGTCCTCACACTTCAATGCGAATAGGAATCACCTGGGGTCTCCCAGCTACGAAGCCGCGGAAGCCAACTGTGATTGTCGGTCTGGGCAGGGACTGAGAGTCCTCGTGTCTAACAAGCTGCACCCGAGGCCACTTTACTCAGCAAGGGCCTGGCTGGCTGGGGAAAGGAGACAGCCGGCACCTATAAGAGGGCTGGGAGGGGTCGCCCTCTACTCCGCAGGAGTCAGCCTCACAGCTCCTACAGCGCCATGGAGCCCAACCCCGGGCTTTTCGTGTGCTTGCTTCTCTTGGGGAGCACAGAGCTGTGCTGCCCCCAGCCCCTCGGGCTCTTGCAGGGTGGAGCCCGCCCCCCTGTGCCCTCCCTGCCGCCCGTACAGGTGCAGTGTCTGGAAGCCCAGCTGGTGGTCACGGTCAGCAGAGACCTCTTTGGCACAGGGAAGCTTGTCCAGCCCAGCGACCTCACCCTGGGCCCCGAGGGCTGCCGGCCTCTGGTCTCCACAGGCGGGGACGACGCCGTGGTCAAGTTCGAGGTCGGGGTGCATGAGTGTGGCAGCAGCGTGCAGGTGAGGCCAGGCCCCTGGCGTGGGTGGGCGTGGAAGTGGCCAGAGATGGCGAGTGAGTGGGGCTCCCCCGCAGGGGTGGGGGCAACGGCTGAGGCCGAGGGTTGGGGTACAGGGCAGAGGGAAATAGGGGGAAGCTCCTGGCTTCAGTTGCCAAAATCGGGGAGAGTCCAGAGGTGGCAGGACCTTCTGGGCTGGGCCAGGCACCCCCGCTGTGACTGTCCCCAGTGGACAGAATGCCAGAGTCATCCGCACACCGTGGTGGGAGGAAGAGGGCCCGCTCTGCAAGTAGCCCAGGCACTGGCTAGAGGCCTTAGAACCTTGTCGGGAAGAGAGAAAACTTTGCTTCAGGAAGCCCAGAAGTAACGGCTACGGGGGGAAAAAACCCAAGCAGAGTCTGGTGGCACACACCTGTAATCCGGGGATTCTGCAAGGCTGAGGCAGGAGAATTGCAAGTTTGGGCTCAGCTTGGGCAATTTAGCCAGACTCTGTACCAAAAAAAAAAAAAAAAACAAAAAACAAAACAGCTCGGTGGTAGAGCTCCTCCCATTCAATCCCCAGAGTTTAAAAAACACCAGCATCTCAGCCTCCCTTTCAGAAGGGCTTGAAGCTTTGAACTACACATGACATGAGGGGGGGGGCACTGTGATTCCTGTGTCGAAGACCTCAGGCTGTGGTTGGGTGCTCTGGCGCAGGTGTGAGAGGGCAGTGAGGGCGGGAAGAGTCCTCCCCAGGTCGCTGGGGAAACTGATACTCAGACCACTGGAGGAGCCTGCCAGCAAGGTGGGGCAGAGTACAGCGTGCAGCTCCCAGCTCTCCCAGCCTGGAGACCACGTTCTTGCTGTCCTATGGAGGGCCTGTGCACCCCTCCATGGTGAGGCCTGGGATGAGAGGCTTTTAAAAGTCCTTGAGGTCCGTCCAGGCTGCACCCTGTACCAAATCAGGGCCGGCGTAGGAGGGGCAGCCAGCTGCATTAGCGTTGCGCCCCAGGTGACTGCAACCTGACGGCTCCTTTCTCAGGTGTGGTGTTTCACACTCCTGCCCCATGAGAATCACTTGGCACCGCTGGCATTGCAGGCGGGTAGCGTGTAAGTCCCCCGGGGCCCTGTGCATGGTTTAATGTTGATTTTTTTTTTTTTTTTTTTCTCCCCCTGCCATACTGGGGGTTGTTTAGTGCTGAGCTGCATCTCCAGCCTTTAGTTTTTGAGACAGGGTCTTGATCAGTTGCCAAGGTTAGGTTTGAAGTTGCAATCCTCCTGCCTCAGCCACCCAGCGTGCTGGGATTGCAGGTGTGCTCCGCCATACCTGGCTGCCCTGAAATGCTTAAAGGTCTCCACAAGTCATGCTTGCTGGTCATGCCTGGGGCAGGCCTATGGGGCCATGTGGGTGTAAGAGGTCCCCTTTCCAGGCAAGCTCCTCCCCCAAACAGCCCCAGGAACACGTGTCCATCCTCATCCCACCGCAGGAGGCCACTGTTTCAGCTGCCCTTTCTGTAAAGTGGGCTGAGGATAGGCTGACACTGAGGAATGTGACAAGTATTAACAGCTGGGTGGGAAGTTCTCCCTAATTTCTGTCTACCTGAGGGTCGGGGCTTATAGAAGAAACTTCTCTGCTGTGGTACATGCCTGTACTCCCAGCAGTCCAGGAGGCTGATGCAGGAGAGCTAAAAGCTCAACCCCAGCCTGGGTGACTGGGTGAGACCCTGTCTCAAAACATTAAAATGGCTGGCAGGGTGTAGCGCAGTGTGAGGGCCCTGGGTTCAATCCCTGGTACTGCAAAAAAGGAATTTGTGAGTTGATGCCAAGTGAGAAGTCGAGGGCATGTCCTAGTGTCACTAGCCCCCTCCCGGTGTCTGCCCTGTCACTGGTCCAGCTGCCTCCCCAGCAGGGCGCCAGTGGCAGGCGAAGGCACTGATGTGCGGGGGTAATGCCTGGCCAGCCCCTTGTTACCGGCCAGGAGTGGTTGGGTTGGAGAACAGAGGCTGGCATGGGCCCAGCATGCCTGGGGCACTGGTGCCAGTAGGGTTAACCTGCTACCTCTGCCGCAGGTGACAAACGATGCCCTGGTGTATAGCACCTTCCTGCTCCACAAGCCCCGGCCTGTGGGAAACCTGTCCATCGTGAGGACCAACCGTGCAGAGGTTCCCATCGAGTGTCACTACCCCAGGTCAGTGGAAGACGGGACTCCCCTACCCTGGGCCTGGTGGGATCCTCCTGCCTTAGCCTCCCGAGTGCTGGGATTATGAGAAGGCGCCTGGCCCAGATCTTAGTTTAGGAATCAAGCTCTGGCATCAGGTGTCGCTGTCTCCAGCTGCAGCCCATGTGGCCTGGCTCCTAATGGAGCTGCTTTGGAGGGTTGCGGGCCAGGCTGCCTTGGCCTTGCTGCCTGGGGGAGCCACTGCTGGGGACTCTGCAGTGGGGCGAGCATTGTGGGCAGCCGTGGTTCCTCCCCCAGGCAAGGTAATGTGAGCAGCCGGGCGATCCTGCCCACCTGGGTGCCCTTCAGGACCACGGTGTCCTCCGAGGAGAAGCTGGTGTTTTCCCTGCGCCTGATGGAGGGTGAGTGGGGCCTGCGAGGGGAGGGAAGCTGGGGGAGCCGTGGGGAGTCTCTAGCCCGCTCTATGTCCCCCAGAGAACTGGAGCACGGAGAAGACGTCTCCCACCTTCTTCCTGGGAGAGGCAGCCCACCTGCAGGCAGAGGTCCGCACTGGCAGTCACCTGCCGCTGCGGCTCTTTGTGGACTACTGTGTGGCCACACCAACGCTAGACCAGGACGCGTCCCCTCGTCACACCATTGTGGACTTCCACGGGTGAGGCCAGACTGCCTGTGTGGGAGCCTCCGTTGCAAGATGGCCTGGCAGCCACCTTCCCTGGCCTCTAACACCACTATGCATTTTTCTGTCCCTCTAAGCTGCCTCGTGGACGGGCTGTCTGACAGCTCCTCTGCGTTCCAAGGCCCCAGGCCCAGGCCAGACATACTCCGGTTCACAGTGGACGTGTTCCACTTCGCTAACGACTCCAGAAACACGGTAACGTTTTCATCATGGCTAGAATGAGACTGAACTCTAGGTGGCGCTTAGGATTATAGTCCTACCCCTCTCCCCTTGAGCAAATGATTCCTACCTCTGTCTCAGTGCTAATAAGACTCTAAACTTGCCAGGTAACTGAAGCTTTGGGGGTAGAGATACCCCCAAAGATAAGGTGTGAGCAACACAAACTCTTAGGTAGAAGCTGGGTGCAATGGTGCATAGCTATAATCCCAGCTACCCAGTAGGCTGAGGCAGGAAGATCTCAGAGTTTCAAGACCAGCCTGGGCTACATAATGAGACCCAGGCTTGCCACCCTCCCCAACAGGTTGGCAAGATGGACTGAAGCTATCAATAGCTGATCTGGCCTGAAATGGGGCTGGGGAAAACCAGTACAGAAACACCTGATTCCCAGATTGGTGGTCTTTGTGGGTCCGAGGGTAAAAGATCATCTTTGGAACCAGGAAGTCAGGTTGACTGCAGAAGTGGCCCAGTGTGAGTGCAGGACAGGGATGAGACCCCTCATAGCAAGTGATCTGATATCAACAGAGGTACAAACTGAGCTGGTGTCTAAGAGGGCAAGATTTAGAGGACAAGGAGCCAGGCGTGGGGTGCATCCCTATAATCCCAGAACTTGGGGAAACTGAGGCGCAGGGTACTCTCCATGAGTTTCAAGGCCAGCCTTGAACTACATAGTGAGACCCTGTCTCAGAAAACAATACAAAACCCTGGGGGTGTGTCTCAGTAATAAGGCACTTGCCTCGTGTGTTCTGGGCCCCAGGTCCAATCTCCAGCACTACCATAAAAAATCCAAGGACAAGGATAATTGGTAGAAAGTAATCTGAGCCTGGACAAGTTTTCCCCCAAAGGTGGGAGGATGGCTTGGTCAACTTTGCCCTAGCCCATGGAAGAAGAAACAACTATATTTAAACCAGGTGTGGTGGTGTGTGCCTGTAATCCTAGCGCTGGGGAGGCTGAGGCAGGAGGATTGTTACAAGTTTGAGACCAGCCTGAGCTGCAGAGAGAGACCCTGACTCAAAAAAACAAGTATTTAAAATCTATAGGAGAACTTCCCTGCCCCCATCACTTTTTTTTTTTTTTAAACATAAAGCCTCTCTGTAGTCAAGGGGGGCCTCAAACTTGGAGCAATCTTCCTGCCTCAGCCTCCTGAGTGCTAGGATTACAGGCATGTACCACCATGCACAGTACCCCAGCACATTCTTGTGCTAAGGGCAAAAGCAGTTCCCTCTTGGAAAAAGGGACTCTAAGGGACCTGGGAGTGTTTTTCTCTTTTTTTTTTTTTCCCCCCAGTACCAGGAGTCGAACTGACGACCTTGCACTTGCCAGGCAGGCGCTGTGCTGCTGAGCTAAATCCCCAGCCCCTGGGAGCATTTTTCTTATAGGAGAGATGTAGACAGGCAGCCAGCAGTACATCCTGGCGGGGTGGAAAAAGTCTGAACTTAATGTGTCTTCAAGATTCTGAACAGGTTTCCCTACAGATGCATGTGGTGCTAGGTGGTGGCCGAGGCTTGTGGCCCCTCGCATGGCTTCAGCCAGAAGGTGGCAGCACGTCCTTGCCCTTCCAGGATGGAGCAGGGCGGTGTCACAGCCCTTCCGGGAGTCAAGGGAGCTCTGAACCGAGCTGAGCTTGAGCTTGGCTAAATGTCCCTCACCCCAGGGTGCTGAGACGGGCTGTCGTCTCTCTGGTGAGAAGGTTGCGGGTGGCTGATGGCCTGCTGGGTGGAGAGCTGTCAGCAGCCAGCAGAATCTTGTGTCGCTAGATAAGAGGGGGCAGATGGCGGTTCCCGGAGCCTGGGGATTGGCCAGGGCTCGGCGAATCCTGGTTACAGCCTGGGCTTGTAAGCAGGGACGGAGGCTTCAGGACAGAAGAAGGGTCAGGTCCTGAGGAGGAAGAGAGGAGCCCAGCAAAGCTTGCCAGGGAACGAGCCAGAAAGCTGATCTTGTTCTCTGGGGGGCTTCAACCCAGGTCCTTAACACTAAGCCACATCGCCAGCTCTTTTTAAAAAATTATTTTGGAGAAGACTCCAATCGACTCCAGTGTAGATCTAGATTTGCTATTTATTCAATTTTGGGGAGCAAGCTAACCTCTGCACTGTTGTAGAGATAGGGCACTTTCCTCACCTCCCATTTCAAAGTCTAAGTGTTATATGACAACTGGTTAATGTCACTGGTGGTGCACACCTGTAATCCTAGCACTCTGGGAGGCTGAGGCAGGATTGTAAGGTCGAGGCCAGCCTGGGCAACTTAGTTGTGAGACCCTATCTCAGAGTAAAAAGTTAAAAAGACTGGGAATGCTGGGCGTGGTGGCACATGCCTGTAATCCCAGCACTTGGGAGGCTGAGGCAGGAGGATTATTGGGAGTTCGAGACCAGCCTGGGCTACAAAGTGAGTTCAAGGCCAGCCTGAACTGCATAGTGAGACCCTGTCTCAAAAAGACAAAAAATAATAATAAAAAGACTGAGAATGTAGCTCAATGCAAAGCCACTGGGTTCAATCCCTGGCACGGTGGATAAGTTATTGGCACACCCGAGAACTCGGCCCGGTCCCTTTCAGGTATACATCACCTGTCATCTGAAGGTTACTCCAGCCAACCAGGCCCCAGACCAACTCAACAAAGCCTGCTCCTACAGCAAGTCCTCCAGTAGGTGAGCAGACCACGTTCCGCCTGCCTGCAGGGACACCTAGGAGCCTCATGGCCATTTGTGCCTAGTACACTGTCAGTAAGCCACTTCTGGCCAGGCAGGAAAACCTAAGCTGCTTGTCTTCCCTCTCAGCTGGACACCAGTAGAAGGTGCTGCTGACATCTGTAAGTGCTGTGACAAGGGCAACTGTGGCGGTCCAGGCTATTCCAGGAGGCAGGCCCCTGCACGGAGCCAGGAGATCAGGTCTATGTCACGGAAACGCAGGCACGGTATGTCACCGGGATGTTACTAGGGCCCCTGCTGTCACCCATGCTGACACTCCCTTGTCCTGCTGTAAGGCTGTTTACTCAAAGGATGTATTTTTGAGCCTTGCACAGAATTTTTGGTGCTCCTGGGCATGATATCACAAGGCTGTAGCCCTAGCACTCCGGAAGGATCAGGCAAGAGGATCACAAGTTCAAGTTCAGGGGCTGGGGATTTAGCTCAGCGGCAAAAGCGCCTGCCTGGCAAGCGCAAGGTCATGAGTTCGGTTCCTGGTACCGGAGAAAAACCAAAAAAAAAAAAAACAAGTTCAAGTTCAGCCTGGGCAAATTAGCAAGACCCTGTCTGAAGGAAGAATGGCTGGGTGGAGCTCAGTGTGAAGGCCCTGGGTTTGACCCTCAGTATGACCGAGAGTAAATGCAGCTGTTGGAATCATTTATCCAGCCCACTTACGCGGGGCGAAGCCCACAGTTCCTCACTCTGGGGACTGAAGTGACCTTCAGGTGTTCTTTTCCTTCCAGTGACAGAAGAAGCGGATGTTACCGTGGGACCACTGATCTTCCTAGGAGAAGCTGGGGGCCACAGCGTGGAGGGCTGGACCTCTCCCGTGCATCCCTCCATGGCTCTGGGCTTGGGCCTGGCCGTGATGGCGTTCCTCAGCCTGGCTGTGGTCCTGGGTCTCACCAAGAGGTGCCACAGTGCTTCCCATTCCATGTCCCTTTCCCAATAAAAAGAGAAAGCCAACTCTGGCTGTGGTTCAGTGGCTTACAGATAGGATGTTGGGATTGGTAATGGCTGCTTGGGGCAGGGTAGACTGTCAGTGTCACAGGCTCAAGTAGCACAACCCAGCTCTTCATGGTGCACACTGTCATCCCAGCATTCTAGGAAGCTGAGGCAGGATTGCAAGTTCAAGCGCAACCTGGGCAACTTGGTGAGATCCTGTGACCCTGGCTCCGATCCCCAGTGTTGGGGGTGCGGGGAAAGGCAGCACAACCTAAGTACTACCTTGGCTACAAGGAGCGGTTTGTGAAGGGAAGCCTGTACAGTGTGTCTCTGGCTTTGGCCAACAGGTCCTTCTAGTGTGCAGGGACCTTTTCCCCAGCACCAAAGAGGCCAAGGTAGAAGCTTTGTGGCAAGAGCAAGGTGGATCCAGCTGGCCTGGCTTCTAGGCTGGCAGAGAATCTGAGGTGCTGGCCCCACAGGTCTGCCTCAAGGGGAGAGGGCGGGGAGAGGAGGCCACTTCTTGTCTCCCTTCTCTATGGGCGACAGGCAGAAAGCTACATGCTGAACTGTTAGATGCCTGAAGGCCAGGGGCGACTGGTTCCCCAGAGTAGCACTGTGGTCTTGGCTGTGCTCTCTGCCTGGACCTGGGTGGTCACTGGGTTGCACTGAGCCTAAGCTAGGGGTCCTGTCATGGGCTTGAACGGAGGGTGTCTTTGGGGGGCAGCAGGCCTTGTCGTTGTAAGGCATTTTTTTTTTTTGACGGGGGAGATAGTCTTGTTGTACAGTTCAGGCTGGTCTTGAACTGACTTAGGTAGCCCAGGCTGGCCTCAAACTCATGGCTATCCCCTGCCTCAGCCTCCCAAGTGCTGGAGTTACAAGCATGCGCCACCACACTCAGCTTATCCCCAGGCATTCTTAAAAATTTTGAGGCAAGTCCTGCCAAATTGTCCACACTGGGTTTGAGTTTGCAATCCTCCTGCCTCAGCCTCCCATAGTACTGGGATTACAGGTGTCTCTGCCATACCTGGCCAAGAATCTATAAATCCCCAGGTGACACGGGTGTAGGTGTTAAGGTGCATGGTGTGTATGAGTGTAAGACAGTGGCAGAGTACTCACCTGGCATACGCAAGGACCTCAGGAAGGACTACTGTCCTCTTCCAGGCAGGCTCTGGTCTGCTGGGTGGAGGAGTGGGAGACAAGCTGGGGGTGGCAGGCTTCCTGGAGCAAATCTTGAAGGGCCACAGGGACTTCAGCGTGGAGTGAGAGGAGAGGACCACAGCTCCAGTCAGGAGAGGCTTGGGGGTGAAGGGGGGCCTGCTGGACTCTGAGCAGGGCCGGCCGGCATGAGCAGTGGAGAAGGCTGCCTGGAAGCTGGGTGGAAGCAGTCCCTGGAGCCGGACTCCTAGAGCCCTTTCCTGGGCTCCTGCCTCTCGTGGCTGGGCAGTTGGCTTTCTGTGTGAAACAGGGACAGGAGGACTCTTTGGGGCCTGGATGGGTGGAGCCTGCCACAGGACTCTGGCAAAGGGCTCTGGGTTGGGGTCAGATGGTGGGTGTCCCGCGCCCCGTCCTGCCCTGCAGCAGGTGTGTGTGTAGGCCTTTCCCTTAGGTCATGGTGAGGACCAGCTTTCAGTGTCACTTGGAATCAGAGCTGCCCCGCAGGCAGATGCAGCTCCCAGGACACCAGGGGGCTGGTCCTTCCCTGAACATTCGTCTATTTCTTGTCCTCGAGTTCCCATGTGTCCTGACATCCTGGGTGCGTGCCCTCCATTTGAATCCTGCCCTCTGTAGAAAGGATGAGGTGGTTGTGAAGGAAGTATAACTAGATGCAACTGTGACATCAGCTCCAGCCAGGTCCAGATGCGCCTCTGCATGGCAGGGACGTTCCCCAAGCGGCATCCAGCAGGGAGGTCACAGGGCCCAGCTGTCCTGCCTCCTGGTGGAGGTAGAGTGATGAAGGTGCCAGGGGCTGAGGGTTCACTTCTGTAACCCCAACTTCCTCTCTTTCTGGAAGCTGGGGAAGCATCCTACATTGGATCTTAACCCAAAGGCTGAGCTATCACAGCAACGCTTCCTATAACATTCTGCAGAAACTTGATTCATCAATTTTTCCTGAATGGGTTGAAAATTCTGCCTTTTTGCTTCCTAGCAGGCAGAGGGAAAAGGGAAATGAGATAAAGGACAATGATGACATTATACAAATACATGATGAAAATGTCAAAGATTTTATTTAACTCATTAAGATGCTAAAAGAAAAAAAAGGTAGGTGGGTGGTATAGTTCACTGACAGCATCAAACTGGCTCAAAGTAAAATCCATGAGGCAGAAATCAATTGTTTCTCTGCTGAAAAGAACATAGGAAATAATGGTTTCCCTTACCCTTCTGGGTTCCTTCTAGGAAATGAGTCAAATTGATACAAAACATTAACCAGGGAAAAACTATTTTATTATGTGCATATGTGCAAAAATCCCATATAACATGAGGCTCTAAGGAGGGTCAGATAATTGAAGTTTGGGGAATAACGAGGCCAGGTATAGTGGTGCAGACCTATAATCCCAGCTCCTTGCGGGGCTGAGGCCAACCCGGGCAATTTAATGAGAGCCTGTCTCAAAATTTTAAAAAAGAAGCCAGGCATGGTGGCACACCCTTGTAATCCCAGCACTTGGGAGGCTGAGACAGGAGGATCACCAGGAGTTCAAGGCCAGTTTGGGCTACATAGTTCAAAGCCAGCCTGAGCTACATAGTAAGACCCTGTCTCAAAACAAAAAAAAAAAAAACAAAAAATTTTTAAAAAGAAAATGGCTTGGGGAGGGCCAGGGATATAGCTCAGCAGCACAAGCACCTGCTTGGCAAGCGTAAGGTTCTGAGTTCAATCCCTGATACCAGAAATAAAATAAAATTTAAAAAAACAGAAATTAAAGAGATGTGCAAAAAATGTAAAGCAATGCCACTTCTATTTGTGGAAAACGTGGGAGCCAGTGCAGGGCTTTCCCAAGGTTTCCACTGACTTAAGTTATGTGAAGCAAGCTGAGAACTTTAGACTCAGGCATGAGAAGCAGGAAGTAGCCCCAAACTATGGAAGGCTGAGGCAGGAGAGTCGCAAGTTCAAGCCAAGCCTGGCAGCTTAGTGAGACCCTGTCTCAAAATAAAAAAATAGGGGTTGAGTATGAGGATGTAGGTCAGCACAAAGGCCCAGGGTTTATTTTCAAGTCCTTAAAAAATTACTTTAAAAAAAAAATGGCTGGGGGGATGTAGCTCAATGGTACAATCACCCTGGGTTCGGGCCCTAGTACCACAAAAGGGGAGGGAATAGTTAGTGCTTCTGGGGACAGTGGTGACACAAGGGAGAGTAGGGGGACAAGACGGTGTATAAAGGTTGTCCTGTCATGCAGAGAAGTCTCCTCAGTAACAAAAATGTTCAGCAACAGTCCTCCTCTTGAAAAACAAAAACCAAACAGTCCTGTTGATCTACCCTTAAAAATAGAGATTTCCTTTGTGCATGTATATTTCTTTCACAAAACTACAGGTGATTCAGAGGAGTGATGGTATATGCCTAGCACTTGGGAGGCTGAGGCAGGAATAATACACTGTAGTAGTTAGCATAACTGGGGCTAAGGGACCACTCTTCTCCACTCTCCTGAACCTGGCCAATGCCCCAGGGCCAGCCCCCTGACTTTTGTCCTAAAACCTGCTACCCAGAGACAGAGATAAGAAAAACAAAAGACCTCTGGAAAATTCCAAAGTCCCAAACCAGAACGCACACAGCATGACCTATAGCAGTGGTGGCAAACCTATGGCACATACGACCCAGCGGGCTGTTTGTGTTACTGAAAGCTCTAAAAGGTTCGCCATCACTGATTGCAGCTGTTCTGTACTTGGAGCTTATTGAGTTCGTGCATAGGGACTGCACCTCCTGTGTCCAATTATAACAGTGCATTATTGGGCGGGAGATTTAGCTCAGCGGCACAGTGCATGCTTGGCAAGCGTGAGGTTGTGAGTTCAGTTCCTAGTATCGGGGAAAAAAAAGTGCTTTACAGGAGAAAGGACATGTGCAGTAGACACAGCTGACTTAACTCAGCCCCCTGCCAATCATATTGTCAACCATGCTCTGGATGACCAATGGGAGGCGCCCTGGACATAGCGCAATGTTTTAAATTCTTAAACACAAGAGCTGGGTGCAGTGGCGCACGCCTGTAATCCCAGCACCTGGGAGGCTGAGGCAGGAGGATCGTTGTGAGTTCGAGACCAGCCTGGGCTAAAAAGTGAGCGCAACCCCAGCCTGAACTCCATAGTGAGACTCTGTCTCAAAAAGACAAAAAATAAAAAATAAATAAATAAATAAAAATTCGTAAATACAACCCACTTAGCACTGGTGCCATTTGCCTTTCAATGGGCGCGAGTCTGCTCACTCTTGACTCTGTACGGTTGCCGAGTTACACCGCATTAAACTTTGCTGCTGCTTCCCATGGGTCATGAGCACCACTTCCAGTTCTTTTTTTTTTTTTAATCACATCCAATTCTTTGTTAGTCGTGCACAAGGATCTAGAAACCCATCCGGGACCCCATCGTCCACGGCAACATTTTAGCAAGCCAGCCAGGAGGTAAGCCCCTTCTCGGGGAGATTCTGGCAGTGTGAGATTTTTGTTGTTGTTGTTGTTTTGTACCAGGAATCGAACTCAGGACCTTGTGCTTGCCAGGCAGGCACTGTGCCACTGAGCTATATCCCCGGCCTTGGCATGTTTTTTTTTTGTTGTTTGTTTGTTTGTTTTCCGGTGCCAGGAATCGAACTCAAGACCTTGCACTTGCCAGGCAGGCGCTGTGCCACTGAGCTAAATCCCCAGCTCCTTTGGCGTGATATTTTATACTTCTTCTTGTCCCCATTTTCTTTTTGGTTTTTTCCCAGTACCGGGAATCGAACTCACGACCTTGCGCTTGCTGGGCAGGCACTGTGCCACTGAGCTAAATCCCCAGGCCCTCTTCCCCATTTTCATGTCCTTGGTTGCTCATTGTGGGCACAG